GCAAAGCAGTGAAAATCATTAGCAGGCAATCGTTCGGTGAACGGAATTGCACAAAACGCATGATCGGACCGGCTGCCCTGGTGCGCGTCGCTATTTATTTTCTTTCTTTTTCACGGCGCTTTCTCCGCATAAGTGCAGCTGGCTTATGGAGTTGCATCATGCTGCAAATGAAAGGATAAGTGAATGCTGCGGTCAAACAAAGATCTTTCATCTGGATTTTGAAATTATGGTGGATGCTATTCGATTTACTTACTCAAATGATATATTCTGCCAGTCATTGAATTATGCATTATTTCTAACAGACTCCAAAGCAGTCATAATAGTGAGCACCAGAGAAAGCGATTGCAGGCGAGCAGCGACTGTGCGGCGAGCCGTACGCATCTAGAGAAAGACCAAAACACAGTTGTCGTTTCGAAGTTTGCAAAAAAATTGGATCCGGTGCTTACGCCGAAGTAGTACTTGCTTATGACTACAAAACTGGGCGAGAGGTCCTTTTTTGAAAATTTTTTTACATTCCTTGGTTAGCGACAAAAATGTGACAAATTATTTTTTCTAGGGCAGCTATAAACATCACTGACCTCAAAATGTCGAAGTAGAGAGAGAGGCTGAGCATAACTCCCTTATATCTCTAAGCTGATAATAACAGCGTATGAATACGAGATGTGGTCATTAACAAAACTGAGCTGAGGAATGAATGTTGGCTGTGACAGAGACAGCGACTGAGTGATGGATAATAGTTGGAAACAAAGGATTTCACTGTTATATGAGAGGCGTACAAGGCTTTACAACGACCACACTAAAAAGTGAAATCTGATGTGCAGGGCATGTTGTTTTTACTTGAGCAGCTGTAGAAGTCAGATATCAGCAAATGAGATATGCAGCTCGATTACTTCATCAGCACCAGAACTGAAAATAGTTCAAGATTAAAGGGGACAATTGCACCTGGCATGTGAATGCATTCCAGTAACAACAACTGGGTCTTCAATATCGGGGTTATTCAGATATTTCAAATTGCTTTCCTTTGTTTTGTACTACGGAAGGATAGATTCAAAGGAATAGTTGCAGGTCGCTTTAAAGAAGATAAAGAAAGAAACGAAAAAACAAGGGAAAGGTGCGGAACGAAGTAAAAAGGAAATTGCAATAATGATGAGATTGAATCATCCCAATATTGTACAGTTTTACGAAGGTTTACTTATTTCCACTGCTTAAAGCATATTGGTCTTTTCTTACCGGTGCCCATGGCCTTTGAAAATGTTTCAGCACTTGAAACGCTGGATGAAATAATCCTTGTGATGGAATATGTAAGTGGTGGCGATCTGTTTGATTATGTGAGAAGCAGGGGATTTCTTTTGGATTCCGAGGCTCGCAGAATTTTCAAACAAATTGTTTCTGCCGTCTCGTACCTCCATGAGGTTTTTCTTTTGCAGCCTAAATTCGCTAGCCATTTTACTCATTTAAACATCTCGATTCTTAAAAACATCGGTCCACGACATTTCATACTCATATTCAACTTGTGAATAGTTTGCTTGTGGACAATGTAAACTGACAAGTTTGACTGCAACGATAAGAAAAGGGAGTATGCGCAGTAATCCCGGAGAAAAACTGTACCTTCAACAAATTTCGCAGCCCTGCTTTTGTTTTCCGAATTTGAATCGGAGCAAACCGCACATACGCCTTCAGTTTTGTATGCAGTTATTTAAACAGCAGAAAAATGGTTACTGCCAAAAGCAGAAAAGTGAACAGTGGCTGTGAAAGCTGTAGCTTAAAAATGGCTAGGTAGCTTTTTTGACACTTTCTTTGTTAAATGAAATGCAGCCTAACGCTAAGACCATCGAAGGCAGCGAAATTTGGTGGACTAAGCAAGATGACTGCTTTACTGATAACCGTTCTAATTTCACGTATCAGAGAATTATTACTGACGGAAAAGAAAAACACCTACTGGCAGTAGTTTGGAGGAGGAAATTAGGATCAAGATAAAAAGATATGGCTTAGCAATATCTGATATGTTGTTGAATTTCACTAATACTGATACTGATCACCAACCACCTTCTGCTTCGGCTGACTCCGCTAGAATTCATTTTCAGACTTATCTTTTAACACTGAGCATAAGGTACTGCTGCTTCATTGAACTGAATTCGACGAATTGCAGCAAAGATTGGTACACAGAGATCTGAAGTTGGAAAATGTCCTTTTGGACACGAATGGAGTTGCAAAAATTACAGACTTCGGTTTCTCCAATTATTTCTCCGGTATGGCCATAATGGACACTTTCTGCGGCACCCCTGTTTATGCTGCTCCAGAAATCATTTGGGAAATTCCATACGAAGGCCCAGAGGTAGAAATCTCTTTTATCACTGATAAGTGAAAAATCCCCTTTTTTTCGGAAGTTTTTGTGTTTGAAATTAAATCAATGGTTCGTAGAAATTTGCGAAATTTATTTTCCAGGTTGACTGCTGGAGTCTCGGTGTTCTACTCTATGCACTTGTTTATGGCGCAGTGCCATTTTACAATAGTGGCAATTTTGCAATGGTCAAAAGTATCGTGTACACTTCATATTCTGAGCCCTTCCCTCGTTCAAGTATAGTTTATGTCAACTTCAAAAATACATCATAAACACATTAGCTAAATTGCTTACAGTGTACAGTGTTAGAAACTCTCGTAAAAATTAAAATTAAAGGCCCGGTCCTCACAAAAGGAGGAAGCACTTGGGAGTAGACCAACTGATAGAAAGCGCCAGTAAGCAACCATATGCTGGCGGGGTTGTCGACCACTTCATCTTTCGAAGGTTGGTTACAAGTAAGCTAACGGCGGGTTTGACTCCACGATAAATGCCAGTATCAATTTACCATCGAAACATGGATGGGTTAGTTGTCCCAGTTGCAAAGTCGATCCACTGACTATGTGCAAGACAATACAGCACAAATTTTAGATGTATCATGCCCATCACCTACACAACAAATGCCAAAAAAAAAAACTTTCTTCAACGCCGCATTATGCATTTCAGCATACGCACAAAATAGGAAGCGATATGCACAGCAAGTGTGGGGTGATTAAATATTTTGCGTCACTGAGTATGTGGATATCACCATCGCAAGCGTAAAGTAACTGTAGTTCTTTATGATGGTCTTTTGAAGCAGCTAGCTTATCAGAGACCAATTTCCATCCTAGACAAAGATCACTGTTTGTTGGGGCTATAAGTCATGATACAGACGGATTTATGAGCTGCTTCTGAGCTATTCATTCTACACAATGTGATACAGCAGTGCTAATATCGAATTTCATGAATTCATTGACAATTACGCAAGACAAGTAACAGTATGATTCAGAATTTAGGCTGTTTTTGTGATTTTACGGCGAATATTTCTAGGGTAACTGCAGGAGAATGAAACAAAAGGTGTAATACTTCGTTGTAATGACTTGTTTTACCTGTTACATAAAATTAAAGAAAAATCTCGACTGGGGCTTTGCTTCGTCTGTGATTGCAGCAGCGAAGAAACTGATTTTACAGGTCAGCATAGCAAAATTAAAAATCTGGTTTGAGGCCATCCAGAATAGCTTGCAAACTATGACACCTGAACTCAAACGTGTTAGTTCCTCAGGTTAAATCAAAATTCGGTGGGTAGGGCATTTCTCTTGTACTGCTGACAACTGCGTGGGTGAGTGATACCGCGAGTAATTTAGTGACCGCTCGACCGCTTTCAAAGAGCTTGTTAATGCACACGGAATGAGCGGTGAAAACCAATTGATGACGTGCAACCTAGAATCAAAGGACCTGGCGCAGCTGCGTTCTAAGTGTGAAAGCATCTTGGTAACATAGCTAGCATGGGATATCCAAACCGATTGCCCAGGCCAGATATGCAAGTGCCAGGACATGAAAAAGATTTGGAAAAATTCTAATCTGTGGATTACATGGATTACATATGTGCATTTTGCATTTCAGCAGCCTCAAAGCTGATAGGAGTGATGCTGCGCGTAAATCCACTACAGAGAGCAAATATTTATGAAATTGCCAGCCACCCATGGCTACAAATGAGTGAAAGTATGCCTTCCATCGATGAACTTCCTGAATTCGAGGCTTGTTTCATTTGCTGTTAGAATCAGTATAATAAAGGTCACTTTAGATAACGATTACGAAAGGATTTTTCTTATAGATCGATTATGCAGATATTTTCAAAACATGGGATGAGCCAGCAGTAATAGACACCGCAGAGGAACCGGATTTGTTTTCGGATTCACTAAATACAAGAGAACCCAGGTTTTTTCTTTCATTTTTGCCAATTTTTTTATATGTATCCACAAAATTTTTCAAATTGTGAAATTGATATGAAATTTTACGCCTTATGCATGCAACACTTTCAGATGTGAGGAGCTCCAAGGCGGATGTAAGGCTGCTAAAGCACATCACAGAAACCTTTCAGCCAGGCTTCTACAAAAAAGAGGGACTGCTTATAGTGAAGCTTCAAAATCAACAGCCAAACATTCACCAGCTAGGCCACCACTGTTGCGAAGAATCGTCGATAGCGAGGTCCCAGTGCGAACTACTGCGGAATCTCTGGAAAATTTGCCAGTCCGACCGTCAAGAGCAAAAAGTATTCCGACTGGTGGAGCGTCAATGGAAAAAAATGTTGGAAGCAGTCGAGGCGTCAGCCTTGCGCAACAATTTGGAAAACATTTCTCGACTCTTCTTTGCTTCCGCCCCGTACGCCGTTCTGAAAACTACTTCTTAGCTCTTTTTTTATGAGAACTTACTTTTCTGATTTTTGATTTCTAGCAGCGTTATAACGAAGACAAGCGTGAGCGGCCAGCAGCAGATGAAACTCGCACGTATGGTGAGTCAAGGTTGGAACAACAGAAACCACAAATGCGAAGCGATAGCAGAGACTATGGCTTGCCTGATCGAAGCTCAACAGATCCTTTTAAGATGGTGAGAAACCGTCACAGCCAAAATTAAAGCTAACTAGTTGCATAGTTGGCTTAAAAAAACTTCAATACTTTGGTAAGCGAATGTTTCGCTCAAGCATTATTTCTAGCCATTATTGCAGCTGGCGGTTCACCATTCTTCTCCATCTTGGCTTCTCTCATTCACGTAATTCCGTGGACTCGTTCAATCCCATTCCACTACAGCACTGACGGCCTTCTTCACGCTGTTTTGACACTCTTGGGAATTATCAAAAATTCGCTTTTTCTTTTTGTTCTCGGTACTTCATCTTCATGGATTATGACTCTTTTTACATGTTAAGAACTGTTTTGTTTCAGTCACCGCTGCCGATCCGGGGTTTTTTCAACCCCTATTTTGTAGAATACAGCGGCAAAGCAAAGGCAAGTAAAAAACGAAGTAACCTTGAAGAATTCAATGCACCAATTTACGAAAATAGAGGAATAAGGTATCGGTTCCTTTACTCTATCAAAACTTGAGAAAGTTTTGTCGCTGCTATGCGTAAAGTAGGGGGCAAACCATTCTTTGCATGTCTGATTAGTTCATTTTAATGACCAATTGGTACAGGTACATACAAACAAGGCTTCAAAGTAACACTCAAGAAAACTGTTATCAGGACTTTGCTAACGGATGATCATTTTGAAATTTACCTTCGGATTACTTCGCAATTGCCTCCGCCTTTGAAAGGGAGCGAATGCGGAAGAATTTGTAGTATAAGACAATTTTAGAAACAGTTCACAAGTCAAGAGAATCAAAAATTTCTGGTTTATTAATAGGATTTTACAGGGAAAGATCCAGAAGACGTGGCGATGATGCTAGTAGACTATCATTCGATCAACCCAAATACGACGCCGGAGGAGAGCAGACAGTGGAGAGCGATTTCCTGAGTAGGCTTAAGATTAAGGTTGCTTTTCATTGGATTGAATAAGGTTATTGCTCAAATGAAGCCTAGAGCCTCAGCCATTTCAAAAATTTATGGACATTCGTGCACATATAATTTGTGCTTGCATTTGCAAATGAGGAAAAGATTAGCGCGCGTATGTTTTTAGCCTGAGAGCAGCATCTTCATATTTCACAAAGGTCAATGGTTAAAGAGCATTTACAGAATAAAAAAGCTTCGGAGGCTATCGCATCAGCTGATGAGCTGTCACGATTTTACGAAAATTTGAAAATTGCCGAAAGTGCCTTCAGCTTTGCTGACAGTGGCCAACATGATACAAGAGTCATTGTAGCGTCTGAACCTCAGGTACCATTTTTAGCTCAATTTGCACTTCTATTTTCGTATCGCAAAAATACAAACACCAGTGCTTGTATGTGCGTGTATGTGTGTATGTATGTATGTGTGTGTATGTGTGTGTACGGGCATATGTGTCCCGCGTTAACGACGATTCTGTGATGTTCTCACATACCGTACTCAGTTGTGCTAGGTTCTTCGATTCTCAATTACATAGCTTCTAAGCAATTTTTGTTGCTATCGCAAAATTCTTTCTGGTCTTCCTCTGTGAATTCTTGATTTTTAGTCAGGTGCAGCAGCAGTAGCAGCAGAAACAGTAAAAGGGAATGTTCCCCATTCGTCTGCTACTGAATCCAGAGGAGCTCGAAGAAAGCAAGGAAAGCGGACATATATTTATTCAGTGCAGTTATGATTTGAACGGATTTTCCTGGTGCCACTTTTGTGGCTAAAGATACCGTTCTGCTAAAATGAATACAGAATTTAAATTTATTGAAATTATATTAAAGTCGATAAATTACTTAAGTTCTAATGCTAAATTGTTTGTACTCAGAGTGTAAATAATTTGCTGTCAGCGTAAATACAGTTATGCATCGGGGATGGCCAAGCTGTTCTGTACTGAACCTTTGATCTTCATTTTGTTTATTCGCCGTTTCTCTGAGCCCGTCGGGTTGGCTGCTAATTTTTTCGTGTGTATCATTCGCTGATATGCACGTCCAGTGGTTGTTTGACAAGCAAAATTATGTATCCTACCTCGACGAACTTTACTTTCTTCCATTTTCTTACTTCCTCCTACAGTCAACACCACAAAAAAGATATGAAAAACAAAACGTTAGACTTAATGTTATTTTAACAAAATTCGGAGTTCGAAGAACTGATAAATCAAAGACTTTAATCAAACGGAATCAGGGAAAAAACATTGAATGCTTCATTTTAACTATCCAAATACTTAATTTTCTTCGTTCTTAATGAAATGAAAGCGTAGCATCTTTATCTACCGTGTGCTGTGATAAAAGTCTATTTTTTCGGGAATCTGATATCTGTCGCACGTTACAGTTATTGATTTTACTATAGTTATTAATTATCACTATTAAAAGTTTGTTAATAGATAAAAAAGCATTAGAAAATAATCCATTTTACCAGTTGTTAGTATTTTTACTCACAAGAACTTTTTTCGGCGAAAAAATATAAATCAGCTTTGTGGAGTCTGAACTATTTCTTTGCTTTGGTAACGCAAGGAAAACAAAGAGATTATGAAAATTTCGAAGGCGAGAGAACAACTGAAAGTCGCATAAAATTCCGAAAACTGCACAAAAACATCTACTTCTTTAGTTGGCACAAATGGGTTAAAGCAACTGAATTTACCTTCTCAGTAAAATGAATAAAAAAAAAACTAAGAAGTAAAAAGCCTCGCAGCCAGTGGGGTAAATTTTCGTCGTTGTTCAGAAAGCTACTTTCGATCCGAAGTGGTGGAACAGATCAGTTACATCTTGAAATGATTAAAGCTTTGTCAATTACTTCTGCTCGAAGAGTGCTAAGCCGGTAATCTTTTATCAAAAGAAAACGAAATGGACGTCAGGATCGCCAGCAGCTGATTAGCCATCACGCAGTGTAACACTGGTCAAAGCAACAGAAAAAGTTACTAATTGCGTACTTGGAGTATCTTATGAGCTGCATCTGGTCAAGACAAAGCTAGTGTTCTTCAGCAGAGGTACTGATAATTTATTTTTCTTTATTGCAAAAAAACCCAGGCTGGAACGGCCCCCGTCAAAACTTCCAAGTGTCCTCAATGGGACGTAGACTTGCGTGGCAGTTGCTATCATGTTCCTGGGGCCGCACTTGGCCAGGGAACACACTGGCAAAATTTCAGCATCAAAGCTTGCGTAGTTGATGGGTAGAAATACCCGGACAGGCGAACACACACATACACCCACACACAGGCATGATCGCTGCAATATGCTTTTTTTAGCGTCCTAACGTAGCACGCAAAAATGCATAAAAACTGAAAATAAGGTTAGCATCGCGAAGAGGGGAGAGGGAGGAAATCAAAGCAGCGTACATTT